TATCTAGATATCCAGCTCATGATAAGGATAGTGATAAAATAAGTTAAAGAATACCCCTGACACCTATAAAACGGACTTAAAACATGCTGGTGTGAAGCAGAAATAAAAGCAAAATTCATTTCTGATTTTCTTTAAATATCTAGCTGATTACTGCTGTTAAGTATTCAAGACAGATAAAGACAGACTCTGTTCTGCGAATATTGTCAGAAAAATAAGCTACTATCAAGCAAGGAGACATGAAAGATCTTCCAGTTTATGACTGGTCAGATCCAACCTATTTCCAGTTACAGCATTAAACATTAGCTGAGTTTTACTGTCTGCTGTTGCCCATAAACACACTGATATATATATGAACAAGAAAACATGCAGATGTGATTGATATTATGTGGTTATATGACCGTAACAGTTCATTTTGTGGTTTTATTGCAAAAAAATACATTTTTAATTGGTCTAATGAGAAGTCTTAAGCAACATGGCTTCCTAAATTATGTCTATTAGTTTACTTGTAGGAATCTTGTTCTAAATTGTATGTTTAAAATAACGAATAAATTTTGTATTTGAATAAAACCTAAAACATTGCTTATGACACAATGCGCTTGAAGTCTTTTTACCTTTGGGTGTCCTGCAGGAGAATAAGCAGCATACGGCTGAACCACCTCAGGATCTTCTTGCTCTGGGTAGTATGGCTTCTCCTTTTCTCGGACAGTGAATAGAACAGCATCTGACTGGTTTACTAAAATAATACATTTTAATCACTGGTCTGCTCTTTTGGGACAAAAAAACACAAAACCACAAGCCAAACCAGCTGACTCCAAGGCAAGTTCACTAGCATAAGTCAAAACAAGAGACATCATCACTGCTTCACTCACCGACTGTTACTTTGTTGGGCTTTTCAGGGTTGGGGAATGAAAGGTAGACCTGATATTCTTGCCTCCAGGCTTTTTCCAGACCTGTTTCTGGATCCTGCCATCTTTTTAGCACAAACTGCACTGTTTCCTCATCTCCGGCAGTTGTGGCCATATGAGGCTTTTTTGTCAACTCCCTACAAAGAAAGACAGAAGAGAGGACAATTTAATATAACAATATTTGCCTTTGAAAGTCAGATATGAGTGACATTATCTTGACAAACCCCCAGGGTTTTAATCTCTTTTTGCCTAAGACTACAGTCTTTCTTTCAGTTCTCACTTCTCTGACATGCAATACAAAATTTCAAAGAACATGATAAAAAAAAAACTAATTGCAAAACTAAAAGAATCATGTCACCGGAGGTTCTCCTGAATTTGGGCCGCATCCACCTCAGACAGAAACTGCTGGATAAGTTTTTCATCGACATCCTTTCCCACATCATTCACCCAGGATGGTGCAGAGTCCTTTTTGATACCAAAGTGACCAATTAGGATACCTATAGTAAACAAACCAGCCCCGCACAGAGTCCCAATCAACACCTCTTTCATCATCTTCCACAATTTAACTCGTCTTTGTATCTACAAAAAGAAAAGTTTCCCAAAGGTGATTAGTTTGATGCTGAGCTCTGCTGATACATCCAAAGTGGTGTCACATCTTATTTCCAAGAAAAAAAGCTGTGCTTCTGCTGTAGCTACTTCTCATAAGGCTCTGTCATTGTAAAGTTTACTTATTAATGTTTACCCATTGGATGGACCTTAACCGTGCATGTGAGTGCAGGGGGAGGGCAATGAACATCCTTTTATAATTGTTCTAATTACCCTTTTTGTGTAACCTTTTCATTTCTATCTGGTTTGGTTTATTGCTAACAACATAAATCATCCCTGGAAAATATTCAAAAGAAAAAATACCATATAAACTGTTTCTAAAATGCCTTATAGACCAATAGTCAAAGACTGAGATATTCCTTATCTCAGACAAGCTAAAATGAATGTGGTGATTCCACAGAACATAAATACATATTCATTGTTTCCATGATTAAACTTTCTTATTTCATTGAAATTATCATATTATCATTGAAAGGTTTGACTTGTACTCAGTAAATCTGAACTTACTTTACATTTCCTTTAACAAATACCGTTACACTGATATTATTTTTGTGTGTATTTTTCCCTTTTTTTAAAGTCTCTACTTATTGCAAACAATATGAATAGTAAAGAGCCAAAATGTTCCCATCCAGATCACAGGGCATTATATTCTGTAAAGGTGTTTAAACAACATTTACTACATGATAGTTGTGCTACAAAATAAAATAAATATATATAATATATAAATCCATAGGTATATGTAAAATACAGTAATGTAACTAAAGATTGAGATTATAGTTCTTTAAAGATAATTTAATGGTTGGTTCATAGATGAGCAGATGAGTGATGTAACTTTTTCAGGTTACCTTATAAGTCCACAGGGAAACGATTTGTGCACAGAAATGCTGTATAAACTGGTAGATTTTTTATGCAGGTTTTTTAAAATGAAATAACTGAAAGTTTATATTATAGGGGGTTCAGCCTTGTCTTTCGCTGAGGGGGTAACCAACAAAACTGGTTACGGATACCGACTCAGGAACAGGGCCAACATCAGTTACTGGTCATGGTGGCAGACTTATTGAGTCTAGCTGGGTTCCATTACCTCTATCAGTGTTGGCCTTTAAGAACGAGCAGGCCCCCTCAAGCAGACGGTAGATGGATGTTGGATCCAGAGCACTAACAAGCCAGCTTAGTTAAATTTAGTGTTGAGTCTGTTCCCTCCTGTTGGTTTTTCTTAATCTAAACCTTTTTTTTATTTTTTTTTACCTCTCAAGGATCCTCTCTTCAGGATCCACTCTGGCAAGGACTTCTGTTGCATCCACCCCCCTCCTGAGGCTTCCGTCCTGCTCCTTCCAACTTGGCCTTCAGAACCCCTGGCTCACCCTGAAAGACCAGTGTCTCCACTCTCAAACCCCAACATCAGCTTGCAATCAGCTAAGACTGGGATTCAAGGACTCCTACTAACTGTAAGTTGACTTAAACTGCTTGAAGCAATTTTCTATAATCCATTCTTCCCCATTTAACGATTTGTTTTTCCTTTCAGTCCCCCTCTCAGTCATGGCTCCCACAGCTCTCCATATTCTGCTCTCCTATGCATGTCCCCTGAAAATAAACTGTTGAAATCTGCTTCTCTCTTTGCTTGTGCCTACTAAAGAGTCCAAAAGCTAGCATTATGACAGCCTCCTCTACATGGATTAGCCAGACATCGACTCACTGATCCATACCACCTGGATCTACAGCACACACATCGTGATGTCATTCAGACTACAGAAGTGTGGTCGGATGGTGACTAAGAGAGGGAAGGTAGTCTACACAGAGGGGGTCCCTTTCCTAGAAGGAACAACAGCAGATATTGAGGACAGTTACGTTCCGATCCATTGTCGCTCATCTAACCGGAAATACGCCCCTCTGAAGACACATCCCTCCGGTGTAGCTTCCCATATTAGCATCCTATTTTGCCAGAGGCTCTGTGCCGCTAAAGTCTAGGCAAGCACATCCAGCTGAAGGCTACGCAACATAGCAACAAAGTCCCTCCTGTCCTCCTGAAATTTCTGCACTTGCTGGACCGAGTCAGACTGCCTTTTTCCGGGATTCAGAAGGAGCTGAACCCAGTGTTTTTATTCTTCATGCAATTCAAATCGAGTGAATGCAGTGTATCCTGAATCTTGCTGCAGCAGAGACAGAGGAGAGCTAATCCAGCTCTGCTAACCGCTGAACAACGGAGGCCCCGATCGCTGTTTGCCTAAGGAGCTGTTAGAAGCCGCCTGAGACGGAGGGAAGGAGCAGAACCGAAGAAGTGCTGCTAGAGGTTGCGGCTATGAGCTAACCACCATAGCTAAAACGGGAGACTTCCATTGCTACTATGAGTTATAAAAATAACTCCCTTGCAAATCACCCCAATTGTTGCATTCAAATCTCTTTGAGCTGCTGTTGGACGAATGGACTGAACCGAAGACAGGCCTGCAGAACACCGAAACCGAGCCGAAGGCCTTCAGCCCACTGGACCAAAAACAGTAACGTCCACCTTCCCCTTTCTTTCCATCTGATGCATAATAAGTGCTCTGCTTGGGTGAACTATAGGTAGAATAGATAGCAGTGTTGGTGTTTTACAATCACTGAATGCTAATGCACACTACAGGCCGAACGAGTCATGTTTTGTTTAAGCTAACTGCTACATCGTGAGCTAACCCTCTCTGTGTTTCAGTTGGACCCGACCAGAACCAGAACCACTGGGGCCAGCTAAGCTGACGGGTCTTTCAGCCTCATCATAGTTTAATGCATTCCTGAATCATTATTTATTTTTCACCATAAACTGAATGAAACTTCACTGTTTTGACTGCAGTTAACATTTGTGTGTCAGGGTTTTTTTCACATCTTATCTGCTATTTTTAAAGGACAATTTCAAATGCATTAAGCCTTAAACTTCGAACATCACTCGGACGTTGAACGGACTCTTTAACCCCACTTCCCCTTTTATTTCTTTAATTTTGCTTATTTTCAGTAGTGTTTAGTTTTTCTTAGTTATTAGGTATAATACCATGTGATTGTAGCTGATAAAGGTACTGTTGTATTTTTAACCCGTTGTCCTTTGTGTTTATTTTACACAGTGAACGATTTATCACCCAGGCTGGATTCACTCTTTCAGTAGCATCCGAATGAACAGAGACACATTTATGTGGTTGGTGGTTAATAACGTTGCTAAGAGCCATAGTCTAAATTACTAAGTTGGTGAAAGACAACTGGATTTTTAACAGCTGGATTCCGGAGTCCAACCTTTTAGGTAAGAGGCTAAATCCCCTGGTCACTAAGCAAATTACAGTTATAATCATTCAACTGATAAAAAATAACAAGTTTCATCCTTTGATTTGAATTACCTGTTAATTAACTATAACTCCAAGTTCTAGTTATTTAATATATTCACAATCTTCTGGTAAGCTGGCACAACAGATACAAGTACCTCGGAATCCCACCAGCAAATGGCAACCTCGAAGAGGTAACAAGGAAAGCGTCTACGGCCAAAAACCTCCAAGGAGTAAGGCAGGTCCTAAGAAGCCAGCTCAATGGCAAGATTAAATCTCGGACAATAAACTAATGAGTGTGAGAGCCACTATCCAGGATGAAACATTCAAGATCCATAAGTACATCAAGGACTAGACTCCAACAGATGACGTGCTCACTGAATGTCTCAGACAATGGAGTACAGGTGCTAGAGGTGTTAGAGGTTCTGTAATAGGAGGATAAGCCCCTGCAAGGGATGTACCACCGAAACATAACCAAAGTGGGAGATATCAGAAAATCCTACCAATGGCTAGACAAACCTGGACTGAAGGACAGCAAAGAGGAAGTCTTCATGGCTGCACAGGACCCCAGGTGCAAGGACAAGACCCCAGGTGCAGACTGTGAAAAGAGGCCCCTGAGACAATCCAGCACATAACTGCAGGGTGTAAGATGCTGCCAGGGAAAGTTTACATGGAGCGCCATAGCCAAGTGGCTGGAATAATGTAGAGGAAGATCTGTGCAGAGTATGGGCTGGAAACCCCAAGGTCAAAGTGGGAAACACCCCCAAAGATGGTAGAGAATGGCCGAGCCAAGATCCTGCGAGACTTCCAGATACAGACGAACTGAATGGTCATGGCAAACCAACCGGACATTGTGCTGGTGGACAAAAAGCAGAGGAAAGCTGTTGTGGTTGACATAGCAATACCAAGTGACTGCAAATATAGTTTTTTTTTTCACATTAACACAGGACGTGTCAAAAAAAGCTAAATATAGCTACTAGCACATCACTTTTTGACAATTAACAGAGAGAAAAAAGAACCCCCACCGCTCCCCTCTTTAGTACACTACTCAAATAAATTAAAGCAACACTTTGTAATCAGAGTATAGCATCAAGTTAATTAAACTTCTGGGATATTGATTTGGTCAGGTAAGTAGCAGAAGGGGTTGTTAATCAGTTTCAGCTGATTTGGTGTTAATTAAATTAACACCATGTGCAGTAGAGGGGCAACAATGAGACGACCATCAAAACAGAAATGGTTTTACAGGTGGAGGCCACTGACATTTTTACCCCTCCTCATCTTTTCTGACTCTTTTTCACCAGTTTTGCATTTGGCTAGGGTCACTGTCACTACTGTTAGCATGAGGCGCTACCTGGACCCTACAGAGATTGCACAGGCAGTCCAACTCCTCCAGGACGGCACATCAATACGTGCCATTGCCAGAAGGTTTGCTGTGTCTCCCAGCACAATCTCAAGAGCATGGAGGAGATTCCAGGAACAAGCAGTTACTCCAGGAGAGCTGGACAGGGCCGTACAAGGTCTATAACCCATCAGTAGGACCGGTATCTGCTCCTTTGTGCCAGGAGGAGCAGGAGGATCACTGCCAAAGTCCTACAAAATGACCTCCAGCAGGCCACTGGTGTGAATGTCTCTGACCAAACAATCAGAAACAGACTTCACAAGGGTGGCCTGAGGGCCCGACATCCTCTAGTGGGCCCTGTGCTCACTGCCCAGCACCATAGAGCTCGATTGGCATTTGCCACAGAACACCGGAATTGGCAAGTCCACCACTGGAGCCCTGTGCTTTTCACAGATGAGAGCAGGTTCACCCTGAGAACATGTGACAGACATGAGAGGGTCTGGAGAAGCCGTGGAGAACATTATGCTGCCTAGAACATCGTTCAGCATGACCGTTTTGGTGGTGGGTCAGTGACGGTCTGGGGAGGCATATTCATGGAGGGACGTACAGACCTATACAGGCTAGACAACGGCACCCTGACTGCCATTAGGTTTTAGGATGAAATCCTTGCACCCATTGTCAGACCCTATGCTGGTGCAGTGGGTCCTGGGTTCCTTCTGGTTCACCACAATTCCCGGCCTTAAGTGGCGAAAGTATGCAGGCAGTTCCTGGAGGATGAAGGTACCATTGATTGGCCCCCACGCTCGCCTGACCTAAATCCAATAGAACACCTCTGGGACATTATGTTTCGATCCATCCGATGCCGCCAGGTTGCACCTCAGACTGTCCAGGAGCTTAGGGATGTCCTGGTCCAAATCTGGGAGGAGATACCCCAGGACGCCATCCGTCATCTCATTAGGAGCATGCCCAGACATGGTCAGGCATGCATACACGCACGTGGGGACCATACTAATGACTGAATACCATTTTGAGTTGCTGCAATGAAATTTCACCAAAACGGACTAACCTGCCGCATAATTTTTTCACTGTAATTTTTGGGGTGTCTTTGAATTCAGCCTTCTGTAGGTTGATAATTTTCATTTCCATCAAATGACGTGGCATCCTTTTGTTCCTAACACATCACCCAGTCCATATCAGTATAAATAAACAGCATTATTTTTTTTTTTTTGCCACAATGAGATCTGATGTGTTTTCAAAGTGTTCCTTAAATTTTTTTGAGCACTGTATATTCTGCTGTAAAATGAGTCTTATCGGGCTACATTTAGTTTCACAGCCCCCCTCCTCAGCCACACTCTCTCTATTCATCTCCTGGTTGCAATCTTCACTCACTGTAGCAGCAACCTCTCCCTCTTTGGTCCTTTGACAGAACGTGTTTATTTTAGGAAGTTTTTTCCGTTCTTCCAGCAAGTCTTTTTTGCTTTTTTTTTTTTTCTCGAATCTGCTTAAGTACCTCTTTTTGGTATCCATCGTCCCTACCACATTGTATGTAATGGTTATGCTTATAATCAATGCTCAGGACTACCCATAATTCCAAGTTGTATTGTAAAAAATAAAATACTCAAATACATTGCTCTTTTAAGGTCTTTATTGCGGTTTGAAACATATTATATGAGTGTATTTTTTACCAACCGTGTAATGAACTATACATAGTTATTAACATAGTAATTAAAAGTACCACTGTCTGCTGTGCTATTGGGTGTAAGAGCAATGTTTTGCACCATTACGTTTGCAAAGAGACGTCCTAGTCCACAATTGCGTAGGGGAACCACCAGGTGTCAGTGACGGGGCCCCCAAGAAATCAGGGGCCCCTAAGCAACTGCAGTCTCCGCTTAACGATATTTACGCCATTGGCTACTACTTTAAATCATATTTAATGAGGAATAGGTTTAAAGAACATATAAATGCAGCCAAAAAAGAAAGAAACAAGCTGAACATTTTTATAAAGTCAAGTAAATCTCTGGAACTACTGCTGCAGCCCGTCGGAACTTTAAAGCGGGACACACAGCGGAAGTAAACAAAAAAAATAAATAAAAGAAAATAGCATTCTCATATTGGAGTCTAGGAAAATGGTTCACATTTAATTAGACCACCATGCCTTCAGCTGAGTGTTTGAGGCAGTTCGTTAACGATCGCCTGGCTGCGGCGGCTGAAGAGATAATCAGTGTGTTTGAGAAAACCATCGCTGGCTATGAAGAAGAGCTGAGCCGTCAGCGCAGGCTGCTCAGCATCGCCTGGAAACCCCAAGTAAAGTTGCACAGGGCAGGTATGGAATGAAATGCAGCATTGCAGAGTAGTAAAACATGCTTGATCATGAGGTTATAAATGAGTTTACATAAGTAGAGGTGTTGTGTTTCATCATCGTATATAAAGCCTTTTTATTTAATTGACCGAACGCTTATAGAAAAAAAAATCCAAAAACACACTTCTTAGGCTAATCTTTTTTTTTTTCTTTTCTTTTTTTTTTTGCAAGTAGAGAAAGTCTGCTTCCACAACAAGCTTTAGGTAAAATCAGAGAATTTAATGAATCACCAAGCTATAAACAGCAAGGCTGGTGTTGGCATAATCATCAGAGTCGATCAGATGACAAATATATAATTTTTGCAAATAAGAAAAGGCAAAGACATAAATAAACAAAATATTGAGACTTATCCAAAAGTCTTGAAAATGTTATAAAACCCTGGTTTTGTATGGAACTACCACACAAAAATGAAAAACTTTTATTTGCTAATAAATTAAAGTGAATTAACTAAGCAACTGGCTGAAAAATGTGCTGCAGGTAAATAAATGCCACAAAGTTACTTGTGAACTTTTAAAGAAAACCATGTATCTTTTTTTTTTGGGGGGGTTATTAATAATGTGCTGCTTTCTATGGTTTTTATAACTGGATTAAAATACATCAGTATTATTAGTCTTTTCTTTTTTTGTTTTATCGTTGCATTTAAATGCGTTTTTTTCCTGACTTTCCACCCAGACCTCCAACAGCATTTAATCCATGTGAAAGACATTCCGAAAGAACTGCAGCTCGGCAAACAGGACAGGAAGTCCATTCCGGAGCAAGAAGAGGGAGAGCTCACACAGATTTCAGGGAGGCGTGACAAAATATGCCTCAGTCATCACAAAGAAGTAGTGCTGAAAGAGGAAAATGCATCTCTTTTCCCAAGTACTACATTTGATGAAGTTGGCCACAAAGTAGATCAGTCTGTCTTGTCCAATCCAGTGGAAGAGGAGTCCCTGGACACAGTATGTGAGCTCCAGAGGAGTTCCAGTGTAAAAGAACATAACATTGATGATCACCTTGTCTCTAACTATTCTGAAGATATGAGCAAAGATCAGACCCAAAGCAAAGACGCTGATTCAGTGGCAACCAGATACGTGGAGACCAGACTGCAGAGGAGGCAGCACAGATTCACTGAGTCACATAGCGTGGCCACGTTAAAAACTCCTATTAATACTCATAAGGGTAAAATCTCTGAGTTTATATGTGAATCCTGTGGAAAAACTTTTCCATATAAATCCAGACTGATCCGGCACCAGGTAATCCACACGGGCGTGAAGCCATACTGCTGCCACACCTGTGGTAAGCGATTCAACCAGACCTCAATACTGAAGGTCCATCAGAGGATCCATACGGGTGAGAGGCCGTATTCCTGTGACGTCTGCGGAAAGCGGTTCAACCAGAAGTCTATACTGAATGTGCATAAAGAAATCCACTCCGTTGAGAGGCCATATTCCTGTGATTTCTGTGGCAGAAGGTTCAAGCAGAAATCGAAACTGGAATCCCATGTCATATGGCATACAGGTGAGACAATTCTAAAAAGCAAACAAAACAAAATTCTAATGTGACTACTTTAGAGAAAACTGATTTAAATGGAGATTATGCACTTATGTGACATATTGTCTCTTTCTTGCTTTGAATAATGTTGTGCACTAAATCGCCCAAACAACAGCAGATTATAAAATTGTACATTAAAAATAAAATTATAAAAATTTCAAACCATTTTAGAGGTTAGGGAGTTAAAGAAATGCAAGCATGCAGTGCAGCATAGGAAATTATTCTGAATAGTTATGAAGACAGCCTAAAATTTTGAAAGTACAAGTGCAAAAAATTGTATTAAAAGATAAAAATGTGTGTGGTACATCTAAAGTACCACAACATTCAAGTAAGCAGAATTAAAGGAACTCAAAAAGATATATATCCACTGATAAATGGTGAATAAAGTTCAGCTGAATCCGTAAATGAAATATACAGTTTAATTTTTATTTCTGAAAAGTCAGCAGCCTCAGCTGCCCTTAATAAATCAGGAAGGCTTTTCTTATGGGCTAGAGGGATGTTAGAAGAAGAATATGACTCTTTAGAAATGTTAGTTTTATGTTTCCAAACAGTCTTAAAATGTACAGAATTACTTTCAGTGTTTTCCAGGTGGGAAGTCGGGTGAATTTTAAAACCTTTGCAGACTTTGCTTATATCTTATAGGATAAATATTTTCTAAAATGAGCTGGCCCAAATTGATTATCATTTAGAATTTTACTTCCGCTAGTTGCATGGTTTATTGATGTTTATTTATCTATATATATTAATTCTAGAAAACCATAACTGTGAATGTTTTATGAAGAAAAGCCTCTAAGATGATGTAAAATATAAAGATGGGGGGGAGAACCCAAGTATTTTTTTTTACCATAAACTTGTTAGAAAAACAGCAGAGGGATGTTAGTCTTGGTTTTAATTCTGATACTATATTGAATATTTTTTAACTCTATTATTTAAAGCATGGAACGTAAAAACGTCCAAGATTTTAAGTCTGTAAATACCTCAGCTTTCACTTTGCTGAATGCCCATGAGTTCAATAAATTCCTAATAATTATTGCCTGATAGCAAACTACTGTAGATGGTAGCTCAGGTCACGCATGCAGATAACCTTGAAATCTATAAGTTTTTTTCTTTTGATTAAATACTAGTACATGTAAAAAATGTGTATTGGCCAAGAAAAGGCATTTGTGCAAACCTTAAATGGAGCTTTTATACTTATGAATTCAAAAAATGATGTTAAATAGAGTTGAAAATCTGAAAATTCTGAGCAAGAACAGACATTTCAGACAGGAAAATGTGGAGGGACTTAATAATTCTTTCTTTTGGTTCTGTGAGATGAATCATAAACAACCATCAGGAAAATGTAATGTTAACTCTTTTGTTGTTCTCTTCATTTCCTACTTGTCTTTGCTTTTCTTTCTAGAAATCCCACGGCCGCTTTTCTTTAATGAAGAACATTTCCTGTCTGACCAGCAGCTCTTTAAACATGACCTGGACTCCACCTTAGGTTTGGAGTTTCCAAAAATCAAAGATGAGCAGGAAGACTTCTTCTTGGGTCAGGACATGGAGAGGCTTGTGTTGAAGCAGGAGATGGACACGTTTATGGTGTCCCATGAGGAAGGAGACCAAAGCGTCGCTCAAACACAGGAAGAGGTTGCAGAGGTCACATCTGATCACAAAGGTGGAAAACAACAAGAGAAGATGAAACACAGAAACTATCATGTATATAATCCTATCCTGTTTAAGAGTTCTTGTAACCCTCACATGAATAAAAAGTGTGAGTATAAATGCAATTCCTGTGGGAAAGACTTTCAGTTTAAGTCCAGACTGATAAGACACATGCGAATCCATACGGGAGTAAAGCCGTTCTGCTGTCACATCTGCGGCAAGAGATTCAACCAGAAATCCATCCTGCAGGTCCACCAGCGGATCCACACCGGGGAGAGGCCTTTTTCCTGCGACATCTGTGGAAAACGCTTCAACCAAAAATCCATCCTGAACGTTCACAAGAGAATCCACACGGGCGAGAGGCCGTATTCCTGCCAAGTCTGCGGCAAGAGGTTCAACCAGAAGTCCATACTGGACGGCCACGTCAGGACGCACACGGGCGAGAGGCCATATTCCTGCAAGACGTGCGGCAAGAGCTTCAGAAGTCACTCCAGCCTGCTGGTTCACATGAAGAAGATGCACACAGACATGAAGGTCTACCCCTGTGAAATGTGGTAGAATTGTCAAACCCACGAAGGACAGAACTTACAGGTTTATCCAACCTGTGAGAAGCATTTCTGTATTATGTAAAACGTTAGGTGAAAATCAGTATAAGACAAGTAAACTTGAAAAATATTCCTCTAGGTATTTTTGGGTAAAGATAGGCTGTTTTCACTCATGTTCTGCTGCAGCCCAACATTAAGTGATCTTAGTTGCATAATAAATATGAATTTTCATTTAGTGAAAAGACTTTCATATGAGAGACAAAAAAGATAATCATTAAGGGGAATGTATGTTTAGGACCTTTATTGCTTTGCTCATAGATTTTCCTTTTTTTTAAAAAAAATTTTGCTTGTTTATCTGTGCAGGTCTGAAGAGTAGAAAAAAAATCTTATTGTGGCATTAGGTGAATTGCTTGCGCTTTTCATTCTGCTACAAGGAAATCATTGCAACATCCTCAGTAGCTACAAGATTGCTTCCCTGATAATATAAAACGCTAAATCTCATCTTAGAAACTAGTGTGTTTTACTCTGAGATGTTCCCATCATGGTAGGTATTATCATAGGTAAGTCCGCCTATAAGTGCGTATCTGTTCCTCTGTACTTTATTGTGTTTTCTTTTGATACAGTATATATGCATATTCTTGTTGTATATGTATATTATCGGGGTAGGAGGTCAGCCACTGTGCTTCCATGTTGGGTTTTGGATCAGTGTCTAAATTGATACACCTTTTTTTATTCATTGCACACTAAAGCACCTTTTTGATGTGAAATAATTGGTGCAACATTAGCACTTTCTTTGTTCCTTTAACATTTGAAAAGTTCAGACCTGATAGGAAAAACAAAGGACTGATTTTTTTTCTTTCTAGATTGTCCAGATTCTGCAATCTTAATCTAATATATTTCTAGATTAGAGGACTGGTTTTCTAGAGCATTTAGGTCTGGAAGTAAGGTGGCCACAAACCTCGACTGATTTTCTATTTCTGTTTTAATTGGCTGTATGTTAGAGTCCAATAGACTTGTATTTCAAAGGGCTCATTATGTCATTTTGTCTGGCATGATTTCAAGACCCTTTAGAAGAGAAAGAGGCCGACTGTTCCACAAATTATCTTCTGTATTCAAAAACCTTCATGAAACATTTTACACCAAGTCAGCTTGATATCTTTGTGCAGAAAAGTTTAATTATAATCTTTTCATCAAATCCCTCGATTCCAGTTAATATCCTGGTAGAGTTGAGCAATTTCCATAGGTTGCATTTGTGTTGTTGGGAAGGAAAGGAATGCCTGGTTTATGTTGATAATAATTGTGCTACGGGTCATTTTTTGTTTGGACCTGTTATTTTTATTTATTTTTTTGTGAAATGTAGGATTTTCTTGCAATTTACTGTTTGAGATTATTCTGCCGCTGCAAAAGACTGATTAATGTCGAACCTTTTGCACATCTTTATCAAAGGGTTCCAGCGATGATGCTAAATTGTATTGGGATGAGTGAGTACAACTAATAAATCACAACAACACTAAAAGATATATTTTGGAAGAGTCAAATATGGAGGAGCTAGAGTCACTGAAAAACAAAAGCAGCCATTTCACATTTCGTAATTAAATCTTGCAATATGTAATCCGATTTTAAAGCATTTTCCAATGAAACACTTTAAATTGAATAATTAAAGAAAAGCTGTAAATTGCATTTATTAATCCGTCATTAAAAACCGGAAATTGAAAATAATTTTTTTAACACAGTTTATAAATCTGTCTATAAATACCTTTCTTAATTACACATTTAAAACAGCAATTCCTTATTCCGTTAATTTTTCTCACCTTGCATTTTCAAATTTGCATCTCTTTTTACTTTTGCCTCTACATTTACCTTTTCCGTGAGCCCACTCAAAACCAGTTAAGCCAATCACTGATGCTCCTCAGATATAACTCTATTGGTTATTTTGTGAACAGAGTGTGGCCAAGATTAGGAAAGGTATTTATAATCACATTTATAAATTGTGTCTTTAAATTATTCTCATTTAGAGATGGGATTTGAAAATACATTTTCAAATTTCAGTATGTAATAACAGGTTAATAAACACAATTTACAATGCCTCTTTAATAATTCAATAAAAAATGTGTTTTAGAAAATGCTTTTTATATTGCCTGATTTGAATGTTACATTTGAAATGCCCGCTTTTCTTTTCCAGTGAGACTCTAGGTTCTCCATACACTACATGCTGGCTAAAGCTGTGAGATGTATGCTCTTGCTCTGACAGTAAGATGAGAAAAAAAGATGGTCAAAGGTTTTCCCAATTTGAAAATTTCCAATAGGGGTGAGCAGACTGATCTAGTTAGTACAAAGTTTAATGTATAAAATGATGAGTTAAAAGATCCATATAAGTGTTAACGAAACATAGCTGTGTAATTTTTTTCTCTGTGAGACAAAGCTGTGTTTAGTAGTTTTTTTTTCAAGCTTACATGGGCATTATTTTAAGTAAATCTCCAGCTAATCTCTGAGACCATTTCATATAAGGATCTATGGACCTGATGCCTAAAGTAGAATTTAACACAAATGTGTCAAGCAGCCTTATGTTTATTTAACCAGTTTATGAAGAATGGAGGACTTTCGCAATGTGCCAAGCATAAAGAGAATGTTGAACGTGTAGATTAATAAAGATTAAATAATCTGGTTTACCTATTTTGTCTGTAGTTTTGGTTTGGAGGTTTATCGTTCAGATCATAATTTGTACATTGATGCTCTAACATGATTAGATGTTACTTTTATTTGGACCAAAGTGTGAAAAGAATATGCTTTAAAATAAAATTTGAGAATTATGTAATCTTGTTTTCTTTTACATTTATCTTCTGTCATTTACTTTATGAAAAAATAAATACTGTCTGCAACAATTCGCTTAAATCCCTGCATATAAATCGTACATAAAACACACAGATCACAGTTTTCTGCTCTCCTAGAAAAAAAATCTAAACACATTAGATCCAAGCATTATGACTTGACGCCCTAGAACATGTGTTAAAGCCGTTCAAACTCATATTTACCCCAAATTTAAGATCTTACTGGATAATGCTTTGGTTCTTTTATATAATATTTGACTAGCATAACGTTGCATCGCATCAGCCTCTTTTTAAACCATTAAACCATCACCATTATGTTTTTTTTCTTTTTCGGATTACTGCACCATAAGAAATCAATTATGACTTAGGCTCAATTTTAAACAGTGAAATAATTTTTATACAAAGTCTTTAAGCTTATTGTGGTTAATATCCTTTACTAGCAGTTGGATCTGTCTTTTGGGATTTGTTGTTTGAGCAGCATTTCAGTTATCACATCTTTCAGTGACTTTAGATCACACAAAAAAATCTTAGTCTGTGTGGCCAGGTGTCCCCATACATTTCAGCCTGCGACCGCAAGAATAACGGCGCCACAGACTTCAGTCTTTATTTATTGTAATACAGATATTTAAATGTAATTTTTAAAATATCTAATAATTTAATACATGATTTACATACATTTCTAAATATTTAATGTAATTTAATTATTATGCATTATATAGTTTTGTGGGAATATCTAGTATATGAATTAGATAAATGGAGTAACCTTGGCTTAATTTTGACTTTAGATTAAACTTTTTAATGGGGCATTTAATTATTAATTGCATGTTTTTCTATTTTATGATATATTTGAGATTTAAATCATGTTTTATATTAATAAATTTCACATTTGTCATGGTACATCCATTTATATTTCTGGGACATTTACATGAAAACGATCCTGCGACCCATCCCACTTTGTGTCTCGTGTACAAATAGGGTCTACAACTCCAGTTGTTGAGAAATACTGCTGTATTTTTTAAGTGCATTCCTGCTCTTACACAGAACATTACATTTTCACCATGCCATCAACATTTGGTATTTAGCCATCCATTTGATTCAGATGTGTTTGTACCATAAAGGCTGGTGGACAGGGTCTCTCAGCTGTCGCCCTCTGGGTCTGGTGTTGGTAACGTTTTGTGGCTAAATAGAATAGACTAAATAGATATTATATTGTGTCTTTACATAAAATGCCCTTTCATGGCAAGACTTATATTTATATATTTGTTTGCATCAGTGTATGAGGATAGAAAATTAATTAAAAACCGAATAAAAAAACCTTTTTTTAACTTAACTTCTTCTATTACAATTATTAGGTAAAGAGTTTGGATACAAAATATCTGTAGGAATGAAAGAGTATTTATGATTTAAAGGTACCTCATTAGTAAACTAATATGTATTACTGCTTTAGGACAAAAACTGCCATTTTGCAAGTTCTCCCACTTAGAAATCATGGATAGTCTGAATTGTCATCGTAGGTGCTTGTCAACTGTGAGAGACATAATCTAAAAAAAAAAACATTTCCAGAAATCACAATATAAGATTTTTTAAACTATTTATTTGTATGATAGAACTCCAAATAAATATGTGAACACATGTCTATGAGCTAGAATTCTTACCCTCAAAGACCTGTTTAGTCTGCCTTCAAAATGTCCACCTCCACTCCATTTATTATCCTTAATTAGATGCACCTGTTTGAGGTCGTTAGCTGCATAAAGACACCTGTCCACCCCATGCAATCAGTAAGAAACCAACTACTAACATCGCCAAGAACAAAGAGCTGTCCAAAGACACTACAGACAAAATTGTACACCTCCACAATGCTGGAAAGGGGGTGTTGTTGGGCGTCTTGGGCTACGTGAGTTTAATTCGGAAGGAGGCAAGGTGGTGCATGGCGCGTGTTTCTAAGTCGCTTGTGGAGAAATGTCCCGGGTCGTGAGTAGCGAGGAAACAGGAAGCGATTCTTGTGGGATGGAAGAAGGAAAAGGAAGAAGATTGAAAGAGAGTAGAGTCAAAAAAATGAGCAAAAAAGCAGAGATAAATTGAAGGGGAGTCCAGTTCAGAACAGTCAAGTGATGAACAATCTATAAATTACACAGGAAAACAAAATGGTTACAAAGTAATATTCAAACTAGTTAATCAGGGAGACTCTTTTGCAGATTGGAATCTGGTTCAGTTAACAAAACCGATAAAAAAAACTTGTAGGAAAAGTCTGAAGTGCCAGAATACTTTACAGTGGAGATCTATTAATAAACTGCAGAGACAGCGCTCAACAAGGATTACGGATTAACAAGATTGAGGGGAAAAGAGTTCAGTGCAGCTTAGTGGAGAACAAAAGGATTAGTAGGGGAGTCATTGGAGGATTGCCTCCAAAAATAACTGAAAAAGAGATTCTAGAAAAGATAAGTGGTGCAAAAGTAAAAGTGAAACGGTTAAAAACAACAAGAAATTGAGAAAGGTGTGACAGCTTATGTGTTAATTAAATTTGAAGAAGAGCATTTACACACCAAGGTTTTCATTGGTTACATGAGCTGCAATGTAAAAATGTACAATCCACCTCCTCTGAGATGCTTTATAAGCCAAAAATCCGGACATATAGCAGCAGTATGTTAAGAAAAACAATGATGTGGAAGGTGTGCTGGAGAGCACGAATATGGAAAATGTGGGACAGAAGTGAAAATTAAATGCTGTAACTGTGGTGGAAAGCATACTGCTGCAAGGAAGGTTCTCCTGCTTAAACCAGCACATGTCAAGGCCCGTCTTAAGTTTAATGGAGCCTAGGAGGAAATTCAACTGAAGGAACTAATTGTTCTCTTATAACCACCTGCGACACAGCCTATCAGCTTTGAACCACACCCCCACAAAAGCCAATCAGAATCCAAAGTTCATCTTAAAAGGCCTCCGACCTGCACTGTCTGCTGCTGTGCACAGGCGGCGGATCCGCTGTCTGACTTCATTCAGATGACACCATTTCAACCCACCTCCAGCTCCTCCACCATTGTAGCTAAAGCTTCATCAGAGTGTCATTCCTCCTGGACTCTTGCTGCGTTCCCTGTCTCATCACAACCGGTCCGGCAGAAGACCGCAATGTTGAGCTTGGTTCTGCCAGTGGTTTCTTCCCAACTGGAAGTTTTTC